TGGAAGCTGTGAATGCGTAAAACACTGTAAGTGCTCTTCCATTCACAAAAAAAGCAAGGCGCTAAAGCTATTCTAGGCATTTACTTTTATAAAACAAAAATCGAAAGCCTAAGAATAGTATAACTACGCCCGGCATACTCTCAATATCTGAACTACATACCTTTAATAAAATGTTAGAGCGCACTTTCGGCTTTAGCAAAGCATTTCGCGCGTAAAGGTGCAGATAATAAAAGTATAACTTTACTATATAATTAGTAATCCAAAAATATAATTTGGGTATACTTCCCTAAAGTTAATGAAAAGAAAAAAAAGTACAAAATTAACATCCTTTTAACGCATTAATCTTAAGCAGGGACTGGAAATTCGAGTTTGAGAACGAAAGTGTTCGAGAGTTCCCGAGGCGTCGGACCCTTCCCCATCCACTTTCAGGGAACACGCGCCCGAGGAGAGGCGACAGGAGGAAGGAGGGAGGCTGCGATGACTTGCTCACTCTATCGAATGGTAACAGATCGTTTCGTGAATCTGGCCTCTGCACTTCCGAAAGTCGCAGGAAAGGCAAGACAGACGCAGACGACGTTGCGAGCAGACGACGTTGCAAAGGAGCAGACGACGCTCAGATAGGGGGTCGCGATCAGCCAATCAGGGCTCGGCGTTCTGACGTCACCACTACCCCCTGCGCATAGCTTGCTCGTAGCTGCCAGCCAGTGTTGACGTCCATTAAACTTGAACGCCAACTTATTTATTTCAGCAACATTTGTGCTGGGTGCGTCAGACAACAAAACTCCTGAAAAGTAACCAAAAATTAATCTGATGCCTTTGTCCTTACCCGATGAGCTTGACCAGTCACGGGAGGCGGCGAGTTTCTCAAGATACTCTGCGAAAAATAAAACAGCACATTCTTTTTTCTTTTTTTTTTTATAATACAAGCAGGTTAAGTTCACTTCCGCCCACATTCAGTACATCAAATTCAGAAGAAAAAAAATGCAAAAAGGTCACTCCAATACTTGTTTATTTTTTTAATGCATTTTTAGTTTTAGTGGTTCCCGCTGGCTTATTAGTGAAGTTTCGCTGCTACCAACTTAGAAGTATACAAGGTTTAAACCATATGTCCCAATATTGTAGTTAGTTACCGATTTTACCAGAGAAGTAATAATGAAAACGGAACTGACACAATCAAACATTAATCTTTTTTTTGTGTGTGTAGAACCGAGGGGCAATGTCAGGCACATGCTATTCGAGAAAAGATGGGCTTGGTACTGCAGAGCTAAAAATCTCGAGTTTTATTCTCATGTCAATCGGTTATTGAACGTAGGTTTGGGTTACAAGAAATTAAACGCGCATCTTTTTTATCGTGTTCGTCAGCTATTTATCAAAAGCATGTTTGTTTCTTTTGTATTATGCAGTTATTTTTCTCGAGCGCGTGTCATGTAATTTTGGGTCGTCTCTTTGCTGAATTCCTTTAATAGACGATAGAACCTATGTGAATCATATATGAATAAAATTCCAGTGTTATATCTTAAAAACTCTACGAGATAATCAATCACAAATTTAAAGAAAACATGTCAAATTGGCCAGGTCTGTGCCCTTTTATGCGCGATATATAGTTTCCTGAATTGTGCCAGTTGTAGTGGATAGTATCACTATAAATTAGTATCTTCGTCAAAAATTTGAGTTTTCTATCCTTTGAACTATGTATACTACGTGCAGTCAAACTTGGTCAAATTAACATAACGCCAAAAGAAGGGCGCCGTTGGATGTAGGTGTTTATCCAAATAAAAATATTTAAGTCTTTTGTGATTCCGTTACCTGCATAAGTTGGGGAATAACATAAAAATATAAAAAAAATGTCGACCGGACACGGGTACAGGATCTTATCTGGATAGACCTAACATAATCAAGAAAGTCTATTCCCCCGAGTTTGGTATACATAGTCCATGTTAACTGACTGTAGGCGCACTTACAATGTGTGTCATCTCTATAATACATTGCATGGTGTGAAAACCCGCCACATACAAGGTACAACATGGCGAAAACAAAATATCAAATAAAAATTTACATTCTTTATGCCTGGAGCATCCTCAAGTTATAAAAAGAAAGCTTCTGAATTACTGTAGTAAGTAACATAAGCTGGACGTTTTGTATTTGCGATGAGGTTTAATAAAAAAAAAAGGCCACATGAAAAGCAAACGCAAAAACGAAACGATGCTGATGTTACTGGAAAAAGCCGATGACAGATAAACGCAGATGACATACTTGCCTTGCATTTGAAACGGAACTACGTGCCATATCTCGAGTACTGACCGGCATCGCAGTACTGACCCGTTGCTAAAGGACTTTGCCACATCGTAATTACTGTGGCGAAGTGACCTTGTTAAACAGAAATGTGCCTGGCAGTGTCTGGAGTCATCGTATGTATAGAGTGTTACATATTAAGTGGGATCTAATGATTTGCTTTTTTTATTTTTGTTTATACTGAGAACCAAATGTACCACTGTAGTTCATGACTGAACTGCTTTAAACTAAATTATTTTAACCTTATTTTTACCAGGTTCCACCAATTGGCATTATTGGGCCCTTATGTGAAGGGCGAAAGAAGGCAGCTAATTATGGATCAATAGCCCCACCAAGCAGTGGACCATCAACCACTCACGTCTCTCGTAAGGGCGCTGGTGCCGTGCCTATGTGAGTATTGCGTGAAATACATCACATACCGAGACGCATTTGGATAGCTGCTCGAATATGTTCACAGAGTGATCAACTGAGAAAGCAGCGTTAGAGTCAAATTGGTGCAGGAAATGCTGGCCAATCTCCTTTCATTAACGCACATTGTACGAAGCTCAAGGTGAAAAGATTGTTTTCTTTGACATCGAAATATTTAAGAAAAAGCTGTATGTACAAATAAATAAATGAATAAATAATATGTGTCTATTTTGAAAAACAGTTTTGGCTTTATATTTCAAGTTGAATGGTCAATAAGCAGTTTAGACATAAGCTCAAATTTGTTCGTCTTTTTTATTTAGTTTTTTTTTTTTTTTGCCCAACACCCACTGGCACTGGTTTCAACTGCGACGCGTATTTCTGACATCTGAAAGGCGTCAATATCTAAGCGTGATGAAAACGCAGGCTATAATAAGCTTGTAAACGCTGGTCCCCTTCAAGCCTGCCAAGCGCTAAGCCGAAGCGCGGCTTTTGCTTAGTAATTCTAGGCATGAAAAACTCCCACGCTTAGAACAAGCGTGTAAAAATTTGCTTTGCGTCACGGTTGCTAAGCGTGAAATTTTCTAGCGTGAGCTACACTGGCCGAGGTTGAGCAGTTTCGCGTGGCTCGCATAATGAGCCGTGCTCCGTGCTGCGCATGTGCGAGGAGCGGTGACGTCACACGGCGCACAGCTGGCGCGTCGGAGCAATACCACCTAGAAGACAAGGCCTGCTCATGACGTTTCGTTAGTAGATCCCCGACCCGCCCCAAGCGGCAAACACCCCGAAGCTTGACGAGAGTATAGATGGGCCGCTTCAGAACTACGGCTGCGTTCCAAAGCTTACCCAAACGGATCCGAGTTACTCCGACGGGTCGTGTCACGTGGCAAGACAGATATTGAAAAACGCTGGACGCGGGTAGGTTTTAGAACGCCAAGGTATAAACACTTTATCCTGGAGTAAGATCGAGTAAATTTTGGAACACGGCCAACTACGTCGCATTCACTTGCGGCCACAGCTGCGTGCGCGTCTGCTGAGCGTGAGCTGATAGCGAGCTTGCAGGTCATTTATAACGTGCATGCGAACACTCACTCGGCTAGAAGCGCCGGCTAGCACGCGCTCCTAGCTTTGGGACGAGCATTTCTCGAGCGTGCGCTCGTTCTGCCGAAGAACGCTTCACAGCAGCCACCTCGAGCTCTCGTGCTTGTGGCATTGGCTGCGTTCTCTGCTTAGGAATGAACGGAGTATGGACAGCGCCCTCAAAAATGGCGTCCAGTGCCAACGTCCAGCGCCCAGCGGAGGGCTTTGCGGCCCTTCGCACAGCAGTAAGGCACTTTCACTCATGCATTTGACGCTCCACGTGAACGTCTAACTTCATCGTATGCTATAGCAAAAGACACTCGACATGAGCATCTGTTTCATTATCTGCTACACAAACCACTGAAGCAGTCAATGGAGCAGACGATGTTGCAGACGATGTAGCAGACGATGTTGCTCATCCGGGTTAGCTAGGGGGCGCTGAGGGGATCTACTAGTGATGACGTTTAGAGGAGGAAACGCGCAGGCCTTGTGTTCTAGGTGGTATTGGTCGGAGCCGCCGCCGCGCCCGCCTCGCCGGAGCGCGCATTCCAGAGGGGTGACGTCATAGTCGCGGCAGACGCACTGGCGCCGCCGCGTGCTCAGCTGTGCGCCTCCGTTGCGCAGTAGCCAAGTCTGAAGCTGCCCCGGAGCCGCTTGAGAGGGCCTCTCATTTTGTGCGTATAAGTTTGCTCACGCTACGTATATCCTGGCGTAGCCGAGCTAAGCCACCGCAAGTTTTTTTTGTGTTTAGCGCACCGAGCGCTTCCCGTCTGCTTGAAGTCAATCGAAAATACGATTTAAGTTGTTTCGTTTTTTATGGCGGGCAGCAAGTTTCTTATTTAAACCAAATATTTATTTTTCTAATTAAAAAGGTAATGAAACATTTAGCTAATTATTCCACTTATTTTGGTAGTTATTCTTCTATATTATGTCCCCACAGCCATATAGCTCGCCTTCACAGACCGTATTAGTGTTCATGGTTTGATAGATTTATTTTAATAAAAGTTAAACTTCTTGTATATCAAGATACGTGCCTTATTATTTTCTTCGTCCTCTTTCTATGTTGTTTCCTAGAGTACGAGAGGTCTATTAAACAAAACCCGATCTTTAGCATGTTAGCATAAACGCAAAAACCACAGGAAAGTACACAACGAGCAATGGTGAATATCACTGGACATTTTTATTTTATCAGTCACAACCGTTCACAGAAATTTGTGTGATCTTCACTTGTCTTTCTGGATCACTACCTCTACAGGTTCTGGTTCCTCTGTCGGAATTGGGATTGAGCATTTATCCGCATCGCACATTTGGAATTTCACTTTTCCGCAGAGAATTTCGTAGAGGAAGAGACAGCAGGGAGTCGGCTCTTGGCCGGCGGTCGATGTTGGGGCCCAAATCTCGCACCCTGGAGAAAAAAATAAATATCAAGGTTTTACTTTGCAAACCCCCTGAAACTATGAGTAACTGCCCAAAGTCTCCAGAGGAAGGGGCCACCGAAAGTTTAAACCCATATTGCGCTCCGAAAGTTGAAACGAAACTTCTACGCCACAAAAGTGGTCATTGGCAACGAGACGAACAATGGTGTAATTACTGTGTAATCATATTTCCCTTTCACCATAACAAATCGCTCGTAAAATAAGAATTGCGCAAGTGCTGAAGTCATCCGACGCTCCCCTGTGCCAGCGTTCACTATAAACACGTTTAGTTTATGTCACTTATACTTGATTAAAATAATTTTGAGCACTATTTTGTAAAAAACGCCAGAGAATCAGAGTGCATTGCCTACGATAAGTAGTGTCTACAAGACGTGAAAAGTAGCTTGAAATGTAAAAATTACGTTATCACCTCGCGGGCGACCCCTGTCTGAGAAGAGGGAGGGTCACCAAATTTAGTGAAGCCCCCCCAAAAAGATCGACCTCGAAGCTCGACACTGATTGGCTGATTCCGGTGAGTATGGGCAGTTCTGAAAAACCGCCAGGGCTTTAAAACTCGACTATACTTCGTTTCAGCCTAGGTCCGAGCGCGGCCGATGTTATGAGCCGAAGGGCCAATCATGCAGACAAAAAAGCACAATGTCCATGGCGTGCTCCCTGCAGTTGATAGGACCAGTCGGTATTCGCCGTCTCTCTGTGTGTGCTCCTCCGCCGGCTAGTCCTATCACGGGCAGACAGCACGCGGACGCTGCGCTTTTTGCGTTGTTTGATTGGCCCTTTGGGTCACAACATCGGCCGCGCTCGGACCGAAGCTGAAACGAAGTATAGCGCCAGGATCTTCCTTCCAGGGACTGCTATCAAGTTTATATGCCACGTGTTAAGTTATCTGGTGAAGAGCGCCTTGAGTGTATATAGGCGCCAGGTTCGGGAACGTTCCGGAGCGATAGCGGAACGTTTTACGTGTTCAACACAATTGCCCAGCAGTTTGCTATACATTTTTTAGATGCAATCATATTCTAAGCTTCGTCATTCACAAGGATCATTTTGCTCTTCCTCGTGATTGGCTGCCTCAGTGTTTCGCAGGAAGGTGAACTCACAGACTTTTTTTTTTTTCATTGTACCCTCACCTACAAAACAGCCAACGAGCCCCTACCCCTGTTGTTCCCAATTTAGCGTTACGTAAGACCCGTGACACATCATTTTAGGTATTTTTCAGGCACGTCTTGTTTCAAGGCATCTTCTCCAAACGACTATTATAAAATATTGCCATGACCAATCAACACTCTTAGTGCCCTTTTCGCACTACCTTTACGTATGCAAGAAACATATTTCGAACAGTGAACACATCCGGTCTACTAAATCAAAATATTCTGGCGTGCTAGTTGGTTATACATACTAAATTACAAATAGCGTTAAGACAATGACAGATGAAGAAATGGGCAGGATAGTGCCTGTTCTGTCCATTTCCTCGTCTGTCCTTGTCTTAGCGCTATTTGTAATTTAGTAAGACGGTCTACTAAAACCTGTTAAAAAATCTGCAAAACAAATAGCAGTTCAGAGAAATTTTTTTTTCTGCTACGTCTGATTGCGGTTGGCGTTTTCCAGAATACTTCATTCTGATTTTTTTTTTTTTTTTTGGATATTGTCTGCAAGGGGGCAGAAAAGAAGGCATGGTGCGTAACGTAGTTTCTGCCGCCTTCAGTACAGCACTCTCGAAATAACGGGGTCGTAAAGATAATAAAAAACCAATGAGCACAATCGGAGAAACACGCCAGCAAAAACATCAGATACCTAATAGTCATTCAATAAAGGAGCATTATAAAATTGTGCAATCGACACAAATTTGTACATTTCTAGTTGACCCGACTATCAAAACAATTGAAAAGGGTATATACAATTTCATAATATTCCTAGATGCACAAAATCAAAACTAGCAACAACTAAATAAACGAACCAAACCTAAACGAAGTGAAAAATTAAGTGGTTATTTTGTAAATGATAAAAAAAAAAAGAAATAAATTAAACTAATTTACCCTCAGAAGGAAAAACAATATACTTCGCTTCACAAAGATGAGAATACTACCGGGTGTGCGGGGATCTATTCACCAAAATATTAATCAGTGCATTAAAGGGAGCGCCGCCCAGCTGGAATCCAGGCGTTATAAGTGAATTTTAGAAACATTTGTTTTGTATAGTTTACGACGCTGAATTGCAATATAAATAACTGTTTTCCGGCCTCTTACCACCACTCATGTAGCTTGACCGAACCACGGAGCACTTTGAGTAATCCGAAAAAATAAGCGTATAACGCCTCTCTTCAGCTCTATTATCTGAAAGAAAAAATAATAATGTATGTTTTATACGCTTTACAGAATATAAGGCCGTGGTGCAGAATAAACCATGATTCATGCTTGACACTACAAAAATGTATTTCAGGACCGGCTATTCTACGTGAAGATATATATATATATGGGTGGTTTCATCTTAAATCGTGCAGGCAAAAAGGGTCGAATTTTTAATTTCGATGAAAAAAATATATGTTATGGCGCCGTTTCTAAAACCGCAGTCGACACAAACCGCAAGTTCGTCGGATTTTTGTTCTCGACTTATGAATTTGTAGAGGCCGCGGCGAAAAGCAGTGTTTTTCACACTCGCCGTGGGTCGGATGTTTCGCTTGATCTCCCGCCATGGATTTTTACTCCACATTATACTATATTTTTTCAAGCACTCTGTGAACACATTTAAAAGGCTCCAATACCATGAAATAATTTTCGGCGTTTTGCTTTTTTTCTGTAAAAATGTCAAAAACGCCTTCTCGGTCAATTGTTGACGAACTTTGACAATTAATTACTGGCGATCTACTTGGGTTACACCAATTTTTTTTATGTCCACGGAGAGCCCAAAACACGCTCTTTATATGTATTATAAAATGACTCGGCTGTATAAAATATCCTTTGCGGTACGTTTACGTTAATATTATGCAAAAACCACAAAGTGCCATTTTTAAAAGCAATTTTCTCAAAAAACCCATTTTTTATTTTTTTATTTTTTGTTCAAATGTAGTAATGATAGTTGTCTACACGAAAATCGATCCTAGAAAGTGTATATTTTGTTTGTATGTTTTATATTTAGGCCTCAATATCGGGAGAAAAAAAACGTCTTTGTTTTGCAAGACCCAAGTCAGACATTGCAACCCATGCGTCTCTATGAATTGTGAAAAAGTTTTCTTGAATTTTCTTCTGCATTTTGTAATCAATTATAAACGAATTTTGTGGTATTGAATATTTATGTATGTTTTGATAAGAGCGGGAACCACGAGATACATATCTAACCAAATCAGCAGGCCTAGTAGACTTTCAATAACCAAAAGGCACAGACGTTGTATTGTTTCGATTTATAAACCTTTCACAGTAAACTAGCACGACTAGCTATTAGCTGTCATATTACTAAGACAAAGAAAGTCACCACATCCGTCGATATGTTATATACAATTCTTCCCGAAACCAAACACTGGGGGTTTGTTCACCGCACATCGCACAGGTCACCAGGAAATGTCCTTTCACTTCCGTAATACACAAAAGTGGTGACAGAGAAACGGTCCGAAACACACAGCGAGTGTGTCATGGAGAGGGGTAGGAAATAAAAATAAATAAATAGGAATTAAATTGCCCAACTCCGATCTTAACAAAAATTGTGTTAAAAAAAAATAAAGTATTTAGGTTCGAGTGGTGGCAAGGCGATAGGTCCACGCCTGGTGGAGAGTCAGACAAAGAAGTCGACGGCACGTAAAGGTAAAACAAACAAAAAATCAATAATTTAATAAAGACGGAAAAACTCAGCCGCACATGGCAAGAACAAAAACCAACTCCTCCGGGCATTCCCTAAACGGGACGCAACCAAATGCGTGCGAACACGCTCTCTACATCACCGCCTAGGCCGCTACGCCATGACAAAATAAACCCAACAACTGAACGGTGCTAACAAACAATTAGTAAGAAAACATTGAAAAAAAAAAAACGTTCAAAAACGCACTTGAGAAACTAAGTTCAGCGGGGCGAAGAAACACACACGAGTCGGTCCCACGACACTGAAGTCTGGCAGGACGACGGCGCCCAGATGATGCTCGAATCTGTTCCTCCCTCTATTACGCACATCCACGACGGCTGTGCGGAACAGTGGCTGTGCGAAAGAAAGTGAAGAACAGATTCGAGCAGGCGATGCGCGAGAAGGTAACCGAGACTATGCCTGAAGCTTCATATCGGGAGAGGAGCTTTCGAGGTAGTTTCTGCAGTTACTCAAACTTTCTCTTTCCCCTTCCCTTTTTCAAAAGAACACGTTAGCCGGCGCTGACTTTTCATCTCGGGAGAAGCCCACTCTTCACAAACGGTTATAGTTGACAAGGAGGCTGACTTCGACCCAACTAGTCTCCGGGCAAAATACAAACACAATTATATTTACCAACACGCTCGTTTTAATGTCAGTCTCCGGGCTTTGCTGTTTCCAAAAGAGATAACCCTTTATAAAGACAGAATGAGCGGGTTGGTGGGAATAATTAAACTTAAACAGCCCCTTCTCGTTTTCTTCCTCAAGTTTAATAGATAACCCTTCGGTGCTATCGGATCTCCCCGGAGAGAGAGAGAGAGAGCACGGCCGTTTCAAGGTAAGGATAGGGCGCTCGAAGCTGGGGCAAACAGGCGGTATCGTTTCACGCATGCACGGATGGCTGGTTTCAAATTTCCCCACATCCCTAACGAAACCGGCCCATCTTTGTGCGTGCGTCTGTGGGATTTCTGTCCCGCGCCGCCGGTTTTAGCGCGCAGGCGGCGTTGTTTTGGCTGGCAGAACAGTTGTTGACCGTCGATATTGTAAGGCCGTGGTGTCCTCATCCTTTCAGGCAACGATTCCTTTGCTTTCCCTTGTGCAATACTCTGCCAGACTCCTCCTGGGTGGCTGTCACTGTTCGCCGCGTCAACGACACAATCGTACCATTTGACTTTTGTTGACACAGGGTGCGCTGCTCGCTTTACTGTCACGGGCCGTCCTATCTAACATACGGTGAATTCCGCTCGCAGATCTCGAGCGCTCCAAAAGCGCTCCATTTGGAGCGCGCATATTCCGCTCGTAGATCTGGCTCGAGTTGGTCATCTTCCGCTCGTAGATCTCTGGCACCGCCCGCTCCACGGAGCGCCCCAAACCTCGCCGAACTTGCTCTGCGGGAGTTGACAGATCTCTCCGGAAATTGACAGGGCGGCCCACGTGATTTCCGTCTAAATTGGCAGCGCGCATGCGCGACGAGGTTGGAGAGGACTTGGCGGGCCGGTCGGGGCGTCGAGTTGGAACTGTGTGGGTGCGTCGGTTGTCTACGCGGGATTGTGACGGCTCGAACGCTTCTACCTCGCGTACATCAGGGATACAAAGCCGGGACTGTGGAGCGTGGTAAATCGTAAGCGCTGACATCTGTGATTGTGACAGGAAGAACGACAGAAAAGCCGGAGGCAGACGCAAGGTTAGGCCTGTTCATTCTGCAGCCATGATTGTTTACCTTTTTACACTGCATTCCGCCGGCGCTTTAACGTGAAATAAAGCAAGAAGTGATTAGGCAATGACCGCGCAAGTGATGGTTTCTTACCTCTGTGTTTATTAAAGCCGTACAAGAAATCTGAACTCCACCGCTGGCAATCGCTGTCCGTGCCCCGCCGCTTCGAGGCGGCCGAAAGGTATGCGACGGTACCGAACGCGGACGCATTCGTGATTTGTGACATGGGCGCCGTGGTATGTATAATTTCGCCCGGCCTGTGTCGCGTGTTATTTCTGCAGCTAAGCAGTGACAATCGTCACTGGTCGTCGGAAAGATCAGTTGGTTGAGGCGTTGGTGGGCTTGTCAAGTTCGAGCAGCGGCCATTTTGAACGGCGGAGGGGGAAGCCGAGAAGCGGTGGGGAGGGGTGTGGGGGAGGTCGCTCCAAAAATGCAAGTTTATCTTCCCCTCGTCGATTCGGAGCGGGTCCCACGGAGCGGAATTTTGCCTCCCTCGCGGATTTTTGAAAGCGCTCCGGATCTACGAGTGGAATTCACCATAACACAACGAGCGCGAAAGGTCGTGGTCATCTGCTGGCTCCGAAAGGGCGGGACGTTCATGCAGGCCAATGAGGGCCCCGAATCAATACGACGTCTGCCGACTCCTACACGTTAAAAATTTACGACACCTGCTGGTCTGTTAAGAAGTGTTGCTTTCTCTTTTTGGAACTCCTCCGATGTAGCTTGCCGCCTCTAATAAAATGTAAGTAATCAATAAATATAACAGGGTGGAAATTCTGTATTTCATTTTTATGTGGGAACGTTGAAAAAAATAAAAAAAACTATTTCCAAGCTTGTGAAGACGCGCAATTCGTAAGTCCATTTCGTGCCGTAAAAACACGTTTTTGTACGATATTGATGCTTAAATATAAAACATACAAACAAAATATACACTTTCTAGACTTGATTTTCGCGTAGAAAACTATCACATCTACATTTTAACAAAAAATAAAAAAAATAAAAAATGTTTTTTTTTTTAGAAAATCAATTTCAAAAATGGTACTTTTTGGTTTTCACATAACATTAACGTAAACGTACCGCAAAGAATATTTTATACAGTCAAGTCATTTTATAATACATATAGAGAACGTGTTTTGGGCTCTCCGTGGACATAAAAAGTATTGATGTAACCCAAGTAGATCGCCAATAATTATTTGTCAAAGTTCGTCAACAATTGACCGAGGGGGCGTTTTTGACATTTTTACAGAAAAAAAGCAAAACGCCTAAAATTATTTTATGGTATTGGAGCCTTTTAAGTGTGTCCACAGAGTGCTTTAAAAAAGATAATATAATGTGGACTGAAAATCCACGGCGGGAGATCAAGCGAAACATCCGACCCACGACGGGTGTGAAAAACACTGATTTTCGCCGCGGCCTCTTTAAAAATTCATAAGTCGCGAACGAAAAATCCGACGAACTTGCGGTCTGCGGCGACTGCGTTTTTAGAAACGGCGCCATAATATATATTTTTTTCATCGGAATTAAAAATTCGACCCTTTTTGCCTGCACGATTTGAGATGAAACCACCCATATATATATATATATATATATATATATATATATATATATATATATATATATATATATATAATATATATATATATATATTTTTTTTTTTTTATCGCAAGCGAAAGTTTGATGTGCGTTACTTGTACAGCGTAATATAGCAGGTACTTTATGTTACTGTCCTAATAGGAAAATCTAACGATTCAGTTTTTATTGAAATTATCTAGCACAAATAAACAAAGTTTACTCACTTTTGGCGCTTTTAATTGAAAGAATGTTGGGTGCCTGATAGCCGTGGTACGTTATCAGTTCTGCGTGCCTTGTCATATTTATTCTGTGCGATTTTAATCAAATTCAATGTATCAGAAAAACGAAGGAATGTGACTTGATATGTGTACTTACTCTTCGCAAGTGTTTTTTTCTTTATATCCAAGTACTAGCTGGAATGAGCTTGCAGCTGGCATTTCTGGATTTTTAGGTATTAAATAAGGGCAGTCCCCATTGTTACCAAATAAAGGATCTGTTAGGTAGGATCTATAGGTAATATAAGTTCTCTCTCCAGTGAAGATCACCTGAAGAAGGTAAGGTAATATAGTTTATCCAATTTAGTTTGCGTTTCCTTTGGCTATTATTGATCGTCAATTTGCGTATCATGGCTCGAAAAAAAGTCGGACCAAAAATAATGCAGGGACAAAAAAAAAACGCAATATATTTGTGACCAGATGTTCACGAACAAGAGGATAATACTACAATAACGATATTAAGTTAAATAATTAGGGGAAATCGCGTTTCTGCATTATTCTTTTTTCAAATATATCACTACTTAAAATAAAGCGGAATTAAATCTGTATATGAGAAGAAAAAAAATTGAATTGTCTTAATGGCGTCGGTCCCCAATATTAAAATGACTTCAATTTGATGCATACAGGGCTGGGTAGTGATACAACATAAAGTATTCTAGCATGCAAATACTAAAATACATGCATTTTAATGACCAAAACACAGAAACTGTGACACATTTGTCTTTTCTGCCACGGGATATTCCTAAGATGCTTCTGCGAAAACGGCGAAAATGTATGGCGAAATACAGATGCAGATACTTATAGAAATACATTTGCTCCCGAACGGTGCTACGTGGGGAGGGCACAGTTCCTGGCGACTGCAATTATTAATTTATGCTTTTGCTCCTTTTTTTATGTCATTTTATGTACTTCCCTTAGCTTGAACTCTTTATCTATCATTAATCCCGCTAAAACAAAATATGCCACCCCCGGTGATTCACATAGTTACGGAACGGTAAAGACTGCATGCCATGCTTGACAAAAAGCGTCTTCATGAAATCAATCCTGCTTTGTCGTGAGGGCGCATCTCAAACTGACGTCTTGTATGCTTCCGATTCACCCATATATTGCACAACAGAGACGTACGTTCTCGCCACTCAACTCCTTTACAGCGTTCGCTCTGCTAAATTTGAAAAAGTAGAGGCCTTTGAGAGGACGACTTATTTTGTTATTTTTGCATGTAACCTTCCTTAAACCACCGTATTTGTTTCTTTCTAATGCTGGGGACTGTGATGTATCATGATATTGGGGAGGGGGGGGGGGGGGGGTCTATCTTATAGACGCTTTACACACGCACCAAATTACAGCAGCCATTGCTGACCTTCTCTTGTCTTACCGAGATGCCGAGCAACTGAAACGGCAGTTGACGATCCTCTACAAGGGCCGATGCTTTAGAAAAGGACAAAGTTGAATCTAATATGGCAATAACGTGGCCTGCTATGGTAATGATGAAGTGAAATAAACGGAATAAGAGGAAACAAAAACTGAACGTCAGTTATGGCGGCGTCCATGCACAGCTGCTGCAAAGCGTCTATAAATTCTGAAGCACCTTGCACCAAACTGATGCTTTATCTTTTAAATTTACCGTTAAAGCGGCAAAAGATGTAGCGAGATGTCTAGGTCTGGAAAAGTATCCCGATAGAAGCGATGCATTGTAATTGTATTTCACTACTAAGATACAAACACATTTTTCAAGTGTATCTCGATACAGAGTTACAGATACTCGAAAGTATCTCTGAGATACTATCGCGATAGATTTATATCGTGATACTGCCCAGCCCTGGTACCGGCACGCGAAGCGTGCGCCTGATCATGACCTTGACAGGATTGCCATTCCATGCGCTTGCCCGCACGTGCAGAGATATGGCGGCGGCCAGATGCCGACTATTTTACTGCTTACAAACTATTACAAACATAAACCGCTGCTTGCGCCCCTGGTGACTTCCGGTCACTCCGTCTTTGCAAGCCTGTCGAGCTTGCTTATGTCACCAGTGTAAAAAAGCATAAATGCTACACGGACAACAAAATGGGAGATTTAATGAGTGCCTTCGGTTCTGCAATTTAACGTCTCGGAGGATACAAATTGGTTTACAAGAATATTCAAAACATTGTTTCGCGCTTTTTGGTTCAATTGTCATTCACCTGGAGAATAGACGTTTTCGGAAAATCCCAGAAGACCTTGCAAAGAGGGGAATTGTGGGGCTGTTTGGTTGTACCCTCGAACGCTTCGTATATCCGGTAGAGGCACAGTTCATTCTTTCTTATCGTTTGAAGCTCAGAACCACCAATTAAATTAAGTGAACGGAAAAGAAGTTCATCACATGCTCTGTTTTTCTGTCCTTCTGCCTTCTCTGCCTTCTGAAGTCACGAACTGGTAAACCAACTTCAACTTTGTCTGTGTATCTAATTTCACGTGTCGTACATCTGAACGTCACAATGCGTAAAGCAGGCGCCGGGAGCACCACATATTTCTGGAAGAGTCTATTGGTAGTTAAATGTTTTATCGCCGTTTTAAACAGCGGTGCTATAATGGGCTTTTTCCTTTATTTTTATGAATCAAAAGTTCGCAGTGACGTCAAGACTGGAGCACCGCCTGGTAGCGTTTTCAAAGAAAAGGGTCTATTGCCGCCAGTGAATCGGTACTTCCTACGAGGTATGTGCGTTCGAGACGCCACTACGCAAGCGTTTATTCAGGAATTCGGATCAATCCGCACAAGTTCGACTTTAAAACCGGCGTCACACTGCTTATACATAATACAAAAGACCGTCGGCAAACAGATTCGAACGCAAGTCGCCACGAGATCCGTGTTTCGAATGTCGCAGGCAACGAGTTCAAGGTGAAACTTCACACGCGAGATTCAAACCACGGATATCGCGGTGACTCATGACTGGCAGACTGTCTTTTGTATGCTGTATATGGAGTATTTACTGGCGGCCACATCTGTGTGCGCGGCTGCTGAGCGCATGCTGACGCGGAGCTTGGGCGGTTCTTTTGCAGCGTGAATTCCGCGCGATCGAGATTGCCGGTCTTAGAAGACTATTAATGTGAGCTCGTTTTGAGCATGCGTTCTAAACATCGCCCTCAAATATGGCGTCCAGTGAATATCCCAACATAGAGATCAGTTGTATCCCCTATTCGCGGAGAGAAGTTTGGGTATCGCCACCTGGTGGAATTGTTTCATAGCCCAGAGTGAAGATACTTTAACTTCTCTGCTGGTGCAAGCACGTGAAATACCAAGCTTATGTGCACGTTAAAACAACCTCGTACCTATCACGGGCACTACTCATAATGTGGAAAACACAAGCTCGGGGGGGGGGGGGGGGGGGGGGGCTGATAACGGAAATTTAAAGCGCTTATGAGGCCACAGCTTTGTACTGGCCAGCTCTTATGCACACATTATCGAAACTGGAACGAATCAAGAAATAATATTGAGGTGATCATGGAACCAGTTCTCATTTGCCATTGATTTTGGAAAATGACGGCGCCCGATGAAATACAGTGTCATGACCGTCATTAGTTTCTCTAAAGCGAAACTGTTTTTGGAGCCACCAGAAGGTACTGAATTTTTAAAAAAAGGTTATAGGCCAAAGGGATCATTTAAAAAGAAATTGAAGTTGAGTATAATTAGGTTACTAATTTTTTTGGAGTAATGCAGCTTTTTAGTTTGTGAGTTTAAAGGTATGGTTCAAGGAAACTTTCTTGGCGTCGTCGAAAACAACTAAGTCGGCTCATTATATAAAGATAAAAAGCACGCAGAGCATTTTAAGGCGTTCCGAGGAAACACTGAATTGGAACGGGTTTCTATGATTAAATTTTCTAACGGGTGGCATTTTTGCACCAGCCATTATTTGCTGATTACCTGCATATTTAGATGAAATATACGCAAAACGGTATGAGATAAACCACCCGAAAATAACCAGTATGTGTTTGCTTCACAAACGAACAAATATTCTTTATGTAGAACAAAAGACTTTCCGCGTCTGGCATATATTTACTTACCTTCGACATGTTCTGACTTTCACTTGCATTCACATTAAAATAAAACGGACTTTTTTGTCCTTTCATAACCCTAACTACCGTCCCTGCACTGCGCAAAGATCCCACGACACCTGATGCCAACGCAAAAAATAGCAGGAAGCTCAGGGCTGTGCTTTGACTCATGCTTTCTGTGACTGTGCACCCCAACTGAACTGACTGCCAGGCTCCCGAACTCACAATCCTCATCTTATATATACCCAACTAATAAAGGTACATTATGTTTTCTTTTTTTATTCTGTTTGCGCCGCATTGTGTTGGAAGTTTCAAAACGATGGAAACCGCATATTGGCGTCTGTTACGACGCATTAGATGTATTTTCCCATTTTATTTTGCCTCTGAGAGTTTTTTTTTTTTTTTTTCGTTTTCATGAAATCCAAGTTTCCTTCATGGCAATGTTTAAGCACAAGTTTACTTTAGAGAGAATTCCGCTGATGGAATTAAAAGCGCTTTTGGAGCTTTCTTTTTTCACTTTTTTTATACGCATGTATGCGTTCGTGGAGCAATTTTGAAGAGCTCCAAATTCACCAACGAACTTTCTATTGGTGTCATTAAAAGGAATCAGGTTCATTGCCGGTGAAGAGTATCAACCATTAAAATCATATTGTAAGAGTGTTTTTTGGCACGCTGAGAAAACATAGGTGCTATAATGGCCAGTCAAGTATTTAAGTATTAACTCGCGCTGGAGCAACCTAATAGCCACGCTTAGAGTATCAACACCCTATTTCCATATCTTTTGGTGGCGTTGTCATTTTTGTGCTTAGGGCTGAGCAGGCACAATTGATGATTGTCACTATATTCGAAAATGCGACTTGCTTGCCCTTAGATACCGTGTCTCGAAACTCAGACGATATGCTTTTGCTATGTGACGGACTGTTCCAACAATCTTGAAGGACGGGAAACCGGCTCGTGTGATTTCAGGTGAAGCTTAAAATAACTGGCACCTATGATTCTAAGCATTAAGTTGACTGACGTGTCGGTAGTCTGAAGCAGCACTCAATAAGCATATACTTATTGAGTGCTGATGTAAACTGTGTTCACATCGGTCGAATAAAATATCTTCAAAAAAGCTTCTGTTTATTGGGCGTGGGACTTATACAACGCTGCGTCTTTAAAATAGAAAAGCGTGAATTCACAGGAGACGTTTGGCAGATAATTTGATACCTGCCTTGGCCTTTAGGGAAAGGGTTCTCACAGCGCCCGACTTCGCGGAGTGGAAAGTGAATTATTACGAGATCCCCAGGGGCTTTATGCCACACGGCGGGACCTGGCGGGACCAAGGGTCCTGGACAACACCGTCTGTTGACTTCAAAAGTCGGAGCTGGCTTGCGAAATTAAGTCGTCGTAAGAATAGGATGTAGGATATAGGATAACTCTAGCTATGATAGAAAACAACTTCATGACCGTAAAGCAGGTGAAAATGAGAAAATCGGGTTGTTGCCTGAATAGCTGTAGGGCAAGCAAATGTCGCATGAGTAGGGCTGGGCAATTGATCGATTAACCTTCCGATTAATCGATTAAGGCTTTAATCGCGATCAAATATTTTAACCGGTTAATCGGTTTTTAATCGGTACTCAAAATAAGTCCGTTCCCAGCCAGGTGCTATAAGCAAGGTTCAACTCTCGCGCTCGCGAAGCGTCACGTGGTCGAGGATATACATTACAGTTCTGCCGAGACCGGACGAACAAGCCGGGCCCGCAATTGATCCCCGCGCGACCGCGAAACTTCACGTGTTGAGGATCTATTACACATCCTGCCCAGGCAAGACAAACAAGCAGAAAAACAACCTGGGAAGCTAACAACGCCATGGTTACTTGTTCCAGTATTCGGCACGTAAAAATGGACGCGTTCAAGAGTATGAAAGGCAATCTCGCTGGAAAGTTTGGGTTTAAAGTAAACTCCAGCGGTGACGTTTTTAACTCGAGGGAGGTCCACTGCAACATCTGAAACACGCCATTTTCGTACAGTGGGAGCGTAAGTTCGCTTCAGTATCACCTACGAGCGAAGCACCCATGTAGCTGAAGCAAGGACCATCCGCGAAAACGCAGACAACAATGAACGCCTTCTCCATCGAGATTCCTTTCTCTGAAAAAAAAAAAAAAAAAAGCATCGCCAAGCTCTGAGTCTTCGGAGCTGGAGCAAAATATGTGAGTCTTTGAATCGTTGAACTATAAGTATCCTCAATTCTAAATGTCCTTTGCGCCGTGTAACAGAGAGTAAAATAAGCCTTTAAAGGCAAGACGAGGTGTTGCATTATTTTAAATATATTATTTATAAAAATTAACGCAACCGATTAATCGATTAATTAATCGATTAAAGGGTGGCGATTAATCGGGTTAAAATTTTTAATCGACGCCCAGCCCTACGCATGAGGAAGGAAAGTATCTCAGTTGGGGTGCTAGCTGTTGACGCTTGGCAAGACCGTTGGTTTGGGAGGGTATGTCATGAAGTGGTCAATGTTACAGGCAGAAAGCAATATTTCCACTCCGTGGTAAATGGACGGCCGCGATCACGGATACTAAGAACTCGAGGGGCTTCATGGCGCAGAACGATGTTGCACAGAAGAAAAGGTACTACAACCATGTTAGCAGTCGCATTGGAAAGAGGTGCTGGTTCAACGAAGCGAGTAACAAGGTCGATGGTTACAAAACTTTGTTGACGTCTAGCGGTGAAGACGGAAAGTAGCCCGAGGAGGTCGATGTCAACGACTTCTAATTGATATTACGGTAGTGTGAGCGACTAAAAATTATCTGAGGTTCGTTAGGGTCGCTTGCGTCGACGACATTCGTTGCACAAGCGAGCATATTTACGAGATCCTTCGGTACAAACCGTGCTAAAACAAACGGTCGAGAATCCTTGAGTGTTTCTTGAATAGACGTAGGTGACCTGCAGCAAGGCTGTCGTAAAGGTGTCGTAGAATAACATGACGTAACTAGTCAAAAGTCCGCAAGATGTCATCACCGACAATTAGGCAGATAGCTGTGCCTGTCGAGGCGCCCGTCAATGATATCTTAAATTCTTGCCTTCATTCAAATGGCAAATAACTGTGAAATGAATTGAATTGACGTCACATTAGGGGGCATTGTGGTGACCCTGCTGCTGAGTGCGTAATTGATTCAGCACAAATTTCCCACCACCAAATTAGTTTTTCTCGGAACGTACAAGTAGGAATGACCCAAAATGAACACTAGCACGAAGCGATGACGTCTCTTGCAAGCCATGTATTTGAGACTTGCGACCTATAGGGGCCGCCACTATCGGGAAAATATGGCGGTCTAAAACAGGTAGGGTTTCCGCAGGCAAGCGTAGGACTCAAAATGGTTTTCCCCGATTTTTATTCACTACGTTTCAAAGCTTCGGCGATTTGTTGGTGTAAGCGAGCTTGCAGAGGCTTGACCTTCTTTTGGGGGAAGAGGTGGGAAGGCTGCTTATGTCCTTCTACGGTGCTGATGAATGTTGATAAACGCACAATGTCTGTTTCACGCGGTTGCGTATAGGTTGCGTTCAGAGCGTCTTGGGCAACACGTTGATACGACAGAAAAACAGAGTACCGGGCAACTGTTCTATTGCGCAAACCGCCGACAACATGTATTCACTGAAGCCACAAGAGAAAACCAGAAATCGCAAAAGGCTCTTCGGTCCAGTTCAGTGTTTTCCCGCTAGGTGCCGTCCGTTTTGCTGGATTCGCGAATACTCGGCGTCAACTATTTCATGCTACATTGTAAAAACTAGCGTAGCTTCCACAGAGCTGTAACTCCGCACTACTGCGAGAGCACGGGGTTTCCTATTGCGTATCATTCGAATGCGCTTTCGCCATTATAATTGACAGAGTCGGTCCACTGCGGAAGAGAAGCTAGCCTAGCACCAAACGGTCAACGCCGGGTGTAGTCCTATGTAAGGGTCACACTGTTATGCCCGAGCCCACTAGAGAGACAAACAGAAACAAATTACAGCGAGTAGTAGTATGCGTTTTGGAGAGGGGGGTTGGGAAACCGACTGTTGTTGGGGCCCATGTCACAGTCGGAGGGGAAGGGTTCTTGGAAAATAAAGAGGGGAAAAGGGGGAGTAGAAGAGGGGGCGAAGGGTGGGGTTTTAGAGCGCAGCTCTTAGGGGCCCGTTCCCGGCTTGAGCGGCGTCGGCGTCGCCGTCGGCGTCGGCGTAACCAAGGTCATCCCAAGGTCACGTGACCCCCAAGGTCACGTGACCCCTCCCAAGGTCATCTCAAGGTCGCGTGACCCCAAGATGACCCCACGTGACCCTTTGAAGGTCACGTGACCCCAAGGTCACGTGACCCCCGTCACGTGACCCCTCTGAAGTCACGTGACCCCCGAGGTCACGTGGTCTCCTCCCCAATGTCACGTGACCCCCAGGTCACGGTCAGGGGGTCACGTGACCCCCAGGTCACGTGACCCCCGAGGTCACGTGACCCCTCCCAAGGTCATCTCAAGGTCACGTGACCCCAAGGTGACCCCCAAGGTCACGTGACCCCCTGAGGTCACGTGGGGGTCACCTTGGGGGTCACGTGACCTTGAGGTGACCCCCATGTGACACCCAACGTCACGTGACCCCCAGGTCACGCCTCCCCGAGGTCACGTGACCCCCCTCCCCGAAGTCACGTGACACCCCCCCCCCCCGAGGTCACGTGACCCCCCCCCCCGGAGTATAATAAAGAATGAGGGGAGGAGGAGGAGGGGTCTACCCTCCCCTCAGTACCCTTCCCTCCTCCTCCTCAAGAGCTGCGCTCCAATTCGGCGTTACAGGGAGTTGTAAACGGCTTTCACTTTTTTTCTCGTCTTTCTCTAACCGTAAAAATATAATTTGCAGGCAGGGGGTCTGTGATGGTCATAGCCATCGGCAAGGCTGGTTTGAATAGGTTCCAGTCGCCTAGATGGTGACTGGGGAAGTCCGATGTAGGCGAAAGAGGGTAGTTTCCTGATTTAGTTCGACCGCAGGGAGTAACATTGATGAGTCAGTCTGTCGGAAAGGCTGTTGTCACCATTTCTCTCTTGGTTGTCTTTCTCTTCAGAGGAGGGAGATTAATCCTGTATCGCTCAGGTAGTTCTCCAGTGCCTTCAGCGCCTTCTTTTTGGTGCAGTTTGTGCCTCGTGGTATGATGATCTGCTCCA